TGACAAAATGAAATAGATATAAAGACATAGTTTTGGGGAAAGAAGTCATGTAAGTTAAAACATAATTTCATGTGGGAAAATTCAGGCAGGAAATTTCAATGGAAAATGCCTGAAAAATCCTGCACTAGAGTTCCCACTTTGCATAGACTCTTGAAAATTGTGCTGACCATTTGGGTCACATTTTTGCAGCTCAGCCTGAGCTGCTGCTGCAATTTATCTACATTAAGGAAACCTCCAAAGGCAGTGCACTCAGTTTTAAATCTCACATCAAACTATAATGGCACCATGTACATGTAAAATCAAATTCACTTTTGGCATGGCCATCAAGAACCTTCTGACATACAAAGTCAGTCAGTTGCATAACTGGACTTTGGATAGACCTTTTCCAGGTAAACTATTTTCAGGATGAAGTGACAGTGAGTGCACCCTACCAAATACCTTTTTGTCCACTTTCCAGTGTAATAGAATATCAATTCAGTTAAAGTATGACTGTAGTTGTAAAACTGTAATTCAATTTGCTATGAAAGAACTACAGGGAAAGTTGGTAACTGTTAGACGTATTATGCTGTAATGACCCAAAGATTAAAATGATGCCAGCCAAAGGGACAGTTGGGACCAAGAACCATTAGCTACACATTGACAATTCAAATGCATTTGTACAGTAGCCAGTTTATTTCAGTCTCCAGTCCTTCTACTATTTTTTCCCCATTTCGCTCTTCCCATCTTCCCCCACCTACTGCTGTAACTTTTCTTCCAGCAAGTTTTAGGGTGGAAGTTTAAATGAGCATCTGCCACACCACCAATGCCAGCGCTAGCTGGCCATCAACCAGCGGGACTACTCTTGCATGGGATGCCTGGCTCCCCTTCGGAGACTGCGCTTAACCTTTATGACATACTCAGATTTCACCAGCTTGGTGCCTCAAATCCCATGTTCCTGCTTCCCTCCAAATTTTCCAGTTGGTAACGTATCCTGATGGGGAGACTCACACCCCTGCCCTTCATTTTCCTTCGTGTTTCTTTGCTAGTCAAAACATAGAGGTTTTATTTTATTTCAAGTTGGTTTACTGCATTTATTTTTGCATAAAGAAAGTGAAATGGGAGGGGGGGATTCAGTTCATAATTAGGGGAGGAGTCGTTTTTGGACTCAATCCCCAACATGAAATCTGTTATAAATGGATTCTGCCAAATTGCTGAACAGAGTGCAAATTTGTAATGTGCCAGTTTTTTAATAGGTTTAGTTCTTTGGGCTCTTTCTGCAAGTCCAACCCTCGTGTCATTTCACTGACACTTTGTCCTTGAAAATCTTGTTCTGCAACCTCCTTTTAAAACTACGTGATAGACATGCTTAAGCCTTCCCAGCTGTGACAGCTCAAGACAAAAAAGTCAGCCTAGGTTTTGGCACACCTAGGGTCTTCTTAAAGTAATCTCATTTGTGCTTGTCCTAGAACTGTTCTTATTAGTCAGCGTCCTTATCTCATATCCACAGCCGAGGATGGCATTGTGGCTTCCCAAAGCATGGTTGCTACACTGGCTAAAGGGACATCCAGATCTTAGTTACAGCAGACACCATCTTTGGAATCGACTCTGATGAAAAAATTGCTGAAGCCCTTCATCTGTTTTATTTCCCTTGCTTGAATGATGGGTTAAACAGGCATACTTAAGAGTACAATAGCTCCAGCCATTTGAAATGCTAATTTTCATCTTGGCCACAATATGTTGAGCATATCAACCCCTTTTATACCTTATTGGTTGTAAAGATAATGAGATTCTTTTAAAAGAACAACATAAAATCCCTGATTTTCAGTATTCAGATTCCCCTCAAATCTTGCTCATGCATGCAAGGACTGAGAGCAACTTCAGACATCAGAAAACATTGTTTAGATTTATAGCATATTTATAGTTAAAACATTAGCACCTCTGAGAAGCCCTTCTTTGCACTAGATAGGCATAGCTGGTAAACACTGAAATTTGTTCCTGTCTTAGAAGGGATGTTGAACCTTCTAAAATGTTTTTCTTGGAACTGGATCTAGTGATCCAGCTATGTATACTCTTGCTATATTTTCACTTTATTTGAACGCATGAAGATATTGCACAAGCACCTTTGCAAAAGACCAGTCAAACAATAAAAACAAACATGTTGTTCATCCAGATTGTCTGCTGTTGACCCAATCTGTGCTTTGTATTTTCCAGACTGTAGTGTAAATGTTTCCAGGGACAGATGTGAGAGAGCTCTGAAAACATCTGATGCTACTTCCAATCATTTCCAGTGATACTTTTCAAAACAGGGATATATTGCACATATTTGTTTTATGCAAGTTTTCTGGATCATATTATATTTACATAATATACTGACCAATACTTCAAAACATCTCTTTCTATACAAATAAACAATTATAACGCCAATGCTAGAGTCATGGTGAAGAGGCATGTGGCAGAATATACAGTCGTAGATTTTCAGATATCTGAGTTTAAAAAAATGTTGGGGGCTTTTAAGATTGTAAAACCATTTGCAATGGAAGTGGGGGAGAAGGCAAAAACACACCAGTGTAGAATACCAAATGCAAACTGTTAATCTTTATTTCTGTATTTTTAGACTTTAACCAGATACAGTGCATAATTGTGAGTGGAAGTAAAGGGCAGTTTCTGACTTTAACTTGCCCAATCTGGCATTGGGGACTGCTGTAGCAAAAAGTAATAGCAAAGAGATTTAAAATTGCATATCTCTCCTTGGAAAAGTGACTTGGGAAAGACATCTTTGATACAACAGATCTATTGCATTTAGCAAAGCTAGTTCTTCAAATCAGAGTGATGAATAAGACTACTATTTTGTTTTTCCTGGAACTTCAAAGGTGAGGAGTGCTGGAGGAGGTTTTATGCAGTGTCTCCAAATTATTAAATGTAGTAGTGGGTACATACTGTACCTGAGAGCTCTTTTCAGTGGAGAAATTACTATCTATGTTTCAATGAGGAAGGAGACTTTTCCCAACAGTATAAAAACTTTAGGCAAATATGCAGGATTTAGCGAGAACCATGCCTCTCAGATGTCAGGAGGAGTTTCTGAAGTTGACAGCTAAAGAAAAGGAGATAAAAGTCAGATTTTTTTATTTTTTTTAATCTCCAATGCTGTGTTCTAGGAAACCAGTAATCCATGCCCTCACCTGCACTTCTGGGCTTCACAGAATACGGCTCGTCATCACAATGTAATGATTTTGTAAAATATTGATTGTTCTCTATTTGTATCACTACAGGACAGAGCTCAGGTTTTTCTTTTATTTTTTAGTACTTTTTTTTTTCTGTGGATGAGGTCTCCACAGGAAACTTTAAGAAAATTTTACCCTGTGCTATCTCACAGTGAGTTGAAAAAGAAACATCAAACTTAGGTTTCCTTTCTGTTAATCATTTAATTATTTATGGACATATTTGAACATGTACCTTAGCAGCCTTATGTCAATCTGGAGCACTGTGAGGGAGCCAGAGTGAATTGGCCAGTTAAGCTGCATTTACAGATGCTTTGCATTGGCAGAACAGTGCAAAGCAGCTGGGTAGTGTGCCTTGGTTTTCCCTCTACCTTCTGTCCTCCAGGTTCGTGGTGTTGTTTGGACCTCCCTTCCATTCTCCTGTCTACATCTAGCACAATTTCCTGGTGTTTCTCTGCATTTGTGTATTCAGGCATTTGCCAGGGTTCTTTTTCTTGTTCTTCTTATATGCTCCTTTTCCTACTCTCTGGTTACACATTTAGAAGAGAAATATTTTAGGAATTGTGATTTTGGTCATGAATTTTCAAGAGCCAAGAGAAACTCTTCTCTCCTCCAAGTTCATTTCACTATCAGAAGGGGCTGATTACTTGCACAGTTATGAACAGGATTAAATCTGCAACTATTATCTTTTTAAAAAACAATCCCTGCTTTGACCCTTTCTCAGCATACTCTGAGAGCAGAGTCAATGGCAATGTTAATGGAGGACTTTTACAACCATAATTCAATGAGAAACAGTAGAAGATTCATCCCAAAATGGCCCCCCAAATGTCAGTAAACCATGAGCTAACACAATTATGTATGATAAAAAATTGGCTATTTGTAGCAGACCTTTACATTTATCATACAATTTCTTTGCTTCTACCACTGGCCTTTCAAAATCAGTAAGCCAGGCCACCTGAAACAAGGAAGTTTTCTTTAAAACAAAATAAAAAAAAACAATTTACATTTGGACCTTCTGTCTGCTGTTTTCTTTATCACATTTTAGCTCTCTTTTCTCAAGCCACAGTGTTCAAAATGCATTAGTCACTAAATGAAAGATAATTTTCTTCTTAATTCGGTCATCTATTTCTAGAGATTTTGAATTGTGTAGAAGGAAATACTTAAGCATATTTTTGAAGAAACATTCTTTGGTTGTTCTTCCCGCAACCAAGTTATAAAGCTGAGTCAAACTCAGTATAAACTCAGTTACAGATCTAATTAGTTTATTTTTAAATTATTGGAATGTCAGAGTCTTAATGGAAGGTAGAGTTCTCACTTTGTTTTGGTGGAAAAAACAGGGCATTCTTGCTGTCATAATGAAATCAAATGTTAAGAGTAATAAAATTAATCAAAAAATGAATACTTGATTTCAGCTAAAGAAATTGTTGAAATTATATTCAATCCATTTCTGTGTTTATTACCTAAAGAGTATTATTGACCAGTTTGAAGCATTTATTTCCTGAGCATCCCACTTTGGCAATATTTTGTCTTTATTTCTTCAACATGCAAAATATAAACGTATAAATTTCCGTATACAAGTGTTAAATATTACCTGTCTTTTTATGTATATACAAATTAATTTTGTTGATACAGTTCTTTTCATGTGTCAGTATACATTGGCATGTTTTGGGTGGGGTTTTTTTCCCCCATAAGAAAATATAGTCAGAATCTGTTTGGCTACCAAAAGTGAAGGAAAAGAGGAGAGTAGTTCTCTTCTTCAGGTTCTTTCTGTCTGTCTCTAACAGATGTCCTCAAAAAGTGACCAGATGCCACCTCCTCTGACCTTGTAGCAGAGAGATGGAATCCCTTCCTCTATGCCACACTCCTCTGCTTCTATTGCAGCCAGAGTCCCTCTTTATTGGGGTGGATCAGGAGGCTTGAACTAGAGAAAGAAATCACATCTGTCCCGGCAGGGAAAGGAAAGGTACAGATGCTAAGTTTCTAAACTATAAGGACTTCAAATTAAATTTAAACTTGTCTGTTTGTAAGTTCCTTAGAAAATTAATTACATGTCCAAAGATCAGATCTGATTTTGACAGTCCCCTGTATTCTTAGGACATACGGTGTCCAATTATCCATATTGTGCGTGCATATTCACTCATATTAACTAGGGATCTGTGAGTGACAGTAATATAATATGTATAATGTATGTAATGTAGTGGAAATATCACTTAGTAATGTACACACTGAATTCAAACTTTTGGAAAAACAGCTTCAGGAAGCCTGATGTTTGAAAACAGGATATATTTAACCAACTGTCATTGAGTAATAGGGCAGAGGGACAAATTTCAAGATCTACACTAACACAAAGTCAATAAATGCATGTGCAGCCCAAAGATGTGACAGACAGATATATTGTACAAAAAGGATTTTTCGGACAGATTCTGTCAATATAAATATATTCTGTCGACATACATGTGCCTTGTCATGCTGCCTTGTCATAATTGCAGTCTCAAGAGCTTTAATTATCTCTTTAAACCATCGGTATTTACATTTGGTTTGTCTCATGGTCCTTCATTGCTAATGTGTCACAATCTCTTTTTTCCCATGCGGGGGTGACAACTGGTCACTCTTCATTAATAAAATGACAAGTCTCTTACCCGTGTTGTACTTGCAAAAGGCTTTAGAAAGCTCTACTTCAAGAGATTAAATTCCCTCTGTGGTTATCCTACAGAACACACACTTCAACAGAAAATGCTTATACATCATTGTTTTTTCTTCTGCCAAGACTAAATTCTGTTTTCCAAGACTAAGTTGAGATGAAAACAAGAATATGACTCTCAGAATTCTATAGTGAAACAGTGACACGTATGGCCAAACTTTATAAACTGTAATGTAATAAAGAAAAAGATATTCCTGTGAATACTATCAGTTGCTTCACTAACACAATACATATAAAAAGGAAGTCTTCTGACATTTTACTTTAGAGACTCTCATGAAATCCAGTGAATTAAGTTTTGGTTCTGAAGTCCAGCATTACCCCTAGACTTCACAGAATAGTCAAGGTTGAAAGGGACTCTGGAGGTCATCTTGCCCAATGCCCTGCACAAGCAGTCACTTACAGCAGGCTGCCCAAGGCCACGTCTAGGCAGCTTTTGAGTATCACCAAGGATGGAGACTCAATTTGATCAGACTCGTGTTCATATATGGAGGTCAGTGTCTTGTTCTTTCCATTAAAATTAGTGAGAAAGATATATAGCACTTAGAAATGAGGAATTTTTACAACAGTGTAAGTGAAGTAAGATTAAATACAGTGTCAGTTTAGGACTCCCTGATCTCTTTCTGATGCTGGCATTTCTTTTCCCCTTCTTAGGTGAAACCACAGAATCTGCTGTATGAACCATGAACTACCAATGCAAGTTTGCCTTGAAAATGTGATTCCGGATACCTGTCTTAACATCTGATGAGAGTGACACTCTAGGTGAGTTTCCATCTGTCTAAAATTGTAAGCTTTCCTAAAGAGTGGCTATAATCTTGCTGAACACAATGTCATCCTAAGCCTTTTACCAATGACTAGAAAGATTGCCACTGATCTGCAAGTCCCAATCTGTTACTTTAAACAGGAATCACAGAAATTGTCCTCTCAGCAGGTGGTGTTTTCAAAGTGTGGAAATTCAGACCTTTGTTCCCAGGCAGGCTTGGAACATGAGAGCACTTAAGCCCAAGCGACTTTGTCAAACAAGAGACCAACAAGATATTTCATGGACCAAGGTGAGAGAAGGCAGTGTATGTGTAGTTGTTGCACACACAGTCTTTCCCTTGGAAGCCAAGTTGGGTGGCATATGCATGCATTAGCTCTGAATTTGGCAGCAACATAGTTTATGCACCTCTTCTCTAAAATCCTGCTTTGGTGCCCTTGTCATGCTTAGCTTCATTCCAGCAAACAGAATAATAGACACAGTGAAGATGCAACACTGGAGAGTCCAACCAGCCCCACCAGGAATCTCGAGCACCTGGATCAGAGTTGTCTCTGAATATATGATTAGACAAATACTAACCAAGTGGTTGGGAGTTCCTGTATTTTGGTGAGATCATAAGGGAAATATCTAGGCATATGGCTCTCAAGCTTCTACATTGCCTCTCTGATGTAAAACTTGGGATAATACTATCCTAGAATAACTGGTTTCAGTGCGTCGTGCCTCTGACTACCATGGACACACGAGCTCAGGATGTGGTTTTTTGAAGAGGTTATATAGCTGTGCTGTCTTATTACGGCTGTTTTAAGAACCAGCTGCAACATCACCAGTCTTGACCACTGCAGGGTGGCTTGGACAGGCAGGTGGGAGACGTAGCCTGGCACTGAAGCCATGGCACTTTGACTATGCAGTTACCAGGGCATGAGCTGGTTATTTACAGGGCTAGTTTGAGATTGCTTGCAGTAGATTGCAGTGACTGCAAAGCAAGCATCACCTAAAGCAATGAAGCAGTCCTGCAAATTTTATTCTTCTTAAATGGTTCTCATCAGAAAGGGGGTGTTTAGGCTAAAAGGAGGATATGTATGGAAGAAAACCATCACCTCTGTCCAATGGGACCACTTAGAATGAGGATTAGTCATAAAACTTAACAAATGCTGGAGACGTTTACAACTCTCTTCTAACATAATGGCACCTATACCAAATACTTATATTAAATTGCAAATTTTATGTTCCATAATGCTATGCACAATAAATTAGCTAAGCCTGTATCAATCTCAATGTGAATATGAAGACAAACCAGAAAAATCATGTTTATTGTTAAGGATAAATAAAGTAAAACACTTTATTGCTTAGTGACAAAAGATTATAAAATACGTTACAAAAATAGAGCACATGCTATAGTCCATCAGAACAAAAGAATTGTCTGATTATGGAGAAATTCAGGAGGGGAGGAAAATATGAAGTTTAATGGTATTATTTGGTATTAAATGTTAACTTATTCCAGTAAGAAAGAAATATAAAATTTTAAGTCAATTCCTAGATTAAAAAAAAAAAGTTTCTTTCGAAGATTAGTACTTCGATAGTGAAACTCAGTAGCTTCTTTTGTAGGAAAACGTAGTTTTTAGGTTTGTGTATGCATTCAAGTTAGTTTTCACAAATGGTAAGATAATAAATCCTACTTTCTGTTCTCAACTTTCATTTAAGTCATGACTAGAAACTAATCTACTATTGGAAGAAATGAAATAAGAAACAAATTACTTTACAAATACATAAAGTTTTTCATCCTGATTGATCACAAAATGGGGTTTTACAAAACATAGGAAAGAAATAATTTAGATTTGGCTGTGCTGCCTTCAGGCAGTGTGGCAAGAGACTATGTATAGTGAAGTTGGTTGTACAAAAGCTTGATAGGTATGCCTTGCTGGCATTTACCATATCTAACACTGATTTGGCCTTGGGCAAGCATTTTGTTGCTCAGGCTTTCATCTCTAAACTGAGATATGACAAAGCCAAATATATGTGCTTAAGAAAGAACCCCACAGAGAATAGAGTAGCTCTTACTATGTTTTATGATACTTCTTTAGGAGCAAGGAGGTCTCAGTCTCATTTACAGTTTCTGGGCAACGCTATAACAAAGTAGTGGGAAATTTACTAGTTGCCTTTCGAAGTTGATGACATCATTGTGGACTACAGACATAATTTGACAACACTCGTATTTGCATCTGTCTTTATGTATCTTCTTTAAGTATAGGGGAAAAAAGTCAGATTATAAATCCCTAAAACTGAATGATAAATTTTTACAATACAAATAGAAGACATCTGGATATCGTTTTTTTTTTTTTTCTTCTTTTTTTTCTTTTTTTTAAAGCACTTTCTAATGCCACAGATGTGAGTAAATATGGGTATAATTAATTTTCATAACCTTTTAAACGTGTAGTAATTTTCTACTAAAAAAAAAAGAAACAGGGAAATTGTGCTTTAGAAACTTACATAATTCAATATTGTAAAGATTAACCAACCCTGAAATAGTATAATAAATAGGAGATGAGAGATGTTCAGGATACAAAATCATGACCTTTGGAAATAAATAAATAAATAAACAAAGCACAGGATTGTCATTTGTAGCTGACTGTGGTTAGATTTTCATTGGAGGTAGCAGAACATTGATTCAATAAGATATCATTCAGTAAACTGTCCGGTTTCAGCAAGGCACATAAATATTTCCCCAACTTGTTTAAATGGAGTTTAATTCTGTTTTATATGAAAAAATATTTCAATCCTCTGAAATAAGAGCTATAGCAGTATTTGGTGAGGTACATATATGCACACCTGGGCCCCCTGCTAGGTTGGAATTCATTGTGCCCACCAGAGGGGAGGAAAGGGAAAAGGCAACTCAAAAAAAAAATTAAATCACATTGCTTAATATTAATTACCCATAGTTGCTTCCCTCATATCAGTTTTGTGGCATTAACTGAGTTTTTTTTTCTTTTATGACCATGTGGATGAAAATTGCTATTCTTTTTGTGCTCATGAAAGTATACAGAAGTGCAGTTACAGTTGCTTTTGTTCCCAAACCCTTGGTTTCACTATCTGACCAAAGGTAAAGATCTGCAGAAGACGATGACAGCTCCTTTTGGAAGACTAGAAATTTTGCTATAAGGAGTATGAATTTGTTCTGGCTTCCTCTTTGGTAGGTCTTTGATCTATGGACATGGTGCCATGGGGACTGGAACTAATGCCATTGCTTCAGAGGAAGCTTCACAGCAAAGCCTACCTGGAGTTGCTCCTTGAGAAATAAAGTAAACCAAAGCAGGATTGACCTTAGCATCCAGAAGGCCAACAAAAGCAGAGATGATATCCCAGATCTGGTCTGGTTAGCAGCATTTCTAGCTCAATTGCAGACATCTAGTTAGATGAAAGTCAAAGGGATATCAGTAGCACTAGCTGGATTTATGAGTAAGACTATAACCGGAGGAGGGCTGTAGCAGATCTGAGACTTGTAGAGAGGACATCCATGCTGTGGAACAGTATGTGTGACTCCTGTCATGGTGCACATCTGTATGAGAAAAAAACAATGACTACTTGATCTTTATCTTTATTTCCAAGAAACTTAGTCTCAAAACAGTCTTTCTATATCTTACTTCCTATGACTTTCACTGCTACCTGGCAATTAAAATATTGACAACCCTGCGAAAAATATAACCTAAGCCATTTATTTGTCTCCATAGGATAATCATGATTGGTGACCAGATTATATTAGATGACCAGATTATATTAGATTTTGTTGTCAGAAACAGTTCACTCTTTGGTGACTGGCTATCTTAAGAAAACTGCATAGTCTGTATAAAGCACTTGAGAAACCTTCTAATAGCAGTCAAAATATTCTAAAAAGGAAAAGCACTAGAAAATAATGATTATTTCTCATCACAGAGAAGGATAAAAAAGGAAAGAGAAGATAGTGACAAAGATGTAAAGTTAAACAGTTTTGTTAAGAAAATTAAGATTTCCTGTAAAAATGGAAATTTATTCTTAGTGGAGATAGTGTATAAATAATGTTAACTACTGTATTTCAAAATAGTGATCCAGAAAACTACTGCTGCCTACTAGAGAAAACAGTAGAAGCTGTTTCAATGTGTACATAAACTCCTCACGACAGTGCCCTTTATCAAAAGACTACACAACCTTTCATGAGAAAGGAAAGAAATACTTCTTGTAGGTTAACAACTGACTGGAAAAAAAAAAAAAAAACAACAAACCAAAACCCCAGAAGAACAAAAAAAAATAGGATTAGCAAGTCTTTCAGGTCCTACCATAACAAAAGTGAAGGAAAAAAAAGGTTTTGAAACTTGATCTGATGACATCCCAATAACAGAAGTTCATGAATGGGCAGCAACTCCTCTATCCAGAACAGTAACAAAGCTTCTGACATATTAGTGAAATTTGTTTCAAGTCCTCTTTAAGTAAAAGCAGAATCGCTGCAGCAGAGGATTTGATGGTAATGGAGGCTGAATAATGAGAAAATGGAGAGTTGTCATCTGATCATGGAGATCCCTCCCCTTTGAACATAAAATGTATAAAATATCTGAAATATTAATATAATTGTACAAGGTCCTGAAAATCACAATGAAAATATTTTATGAGTATCCTTAGTGTGCCTGTGACCTATAAAGATCATTAATTTGAAACCTAATAGCCTACCTGATACTGTACAACTTCCACAACCTGATTTGGCAGAATTGTATTATATATATAATATTGTTAAGAATGTAAAACATAATAGAATGCCACATGGTATTATAAAAAACAGGAGAAGTAGGTAATTATCAGTATTACAATATGCCAGTAAGAGATCAAAGAATATAAATGTTATATGGACAAATTAAAGTCTGATGATCCAGTAATTTCCTTTTCAAGGAAAGATTACACCACTGGAAAAAATGGACACAATTCCCATAGCTTTTGTCTTTAATAAAAAAAAAAAAAAAAGAGAGAGAAAGTGTGTAGA